AGAGAGAGAGAGAGAGAGAGAGGGAGGGAGGGAGGGAGGGAGGGAAGCAGGCAGGCTGGTCAAACAAGAAGCCTCAATGCCTTTCATCAGCTAGTCTCGGAGCCATTTATCACTTCCTTATCCTATTCATTAGAAGCAAGTCACTAAGTCCAGCCCACAGTGAAAGGGAGGGGAATTAAGCTGCACATCTTGAAGGGCGAAGTCTTAAAGAATTTGGGAACCACAAGGTGTCTTAGGACATGACAACTGTCTTCAAATGTTTGGGAAGCCTTGTCAGAAGCAGTAGGCAGATAGGTTTGGTTCCACCCAAGGAGACAGATGGAACCGTGCAAAGATGAGCAGGCACCTGGGGAGGTGGTGAGCCCATGTCACTGGAAGTAGGTATTTGACAGGGGTTGTATGACCACTTGGTGGGGTGTTGTAGACAGGTTTCTAGCATTGAATGGGGATTAGACTAGATCAGAGGTCAGCACACTAGAACCCTTGGTAAATAAAGTTTTATTGGAACACAGCCATGCCCATTCATGTATTTATTGTGTATGTTGCTTTTATGTTACAATGGCAGAGTTGAGTAGTGTGACAGAAACCATGTGGCCTGCAAAATCTAAAATATTTACTATCAGGTCCTTTACAGAAAATGTTTGCTAACCCCTGGACTGGATGACCTTGCAGGTGCCTCCTAGCCCTGAGTGGCATTGTAATATGGTATTTTAAAAAGATTTTGCCTTTTAGGGATACATACAGAGGCGTTTATGAGTGGAAATGTTGGGAATTGGGAGCTCCAAACCAATCAGACACATAATGAGGATCATGCTGTGTTGTGTTTGGGCATAAATTACATAAAATTTTGTAGATGGATAATTCTGAGATTGCCGTCCTTTTCTTTGTTTTGACAGCCCCTGAGAGAGAAGGTTGTTAGTATTGCTGCTGGACTCAGGCATGCTTTAGCTGCAACAGGTGATCATTTTGCTTTTATTTTCTTGATAAGCATGTAATAAGGAGACACGGAGATTTGGAAGAAATAAACTTTAAGGAGTAATTCAGAGTGTCCTGCTGTGCTGCAGTCTGATTAAAAGGAGGTGACATAAGGCAGAAGTCATGTGGGAAAGCCTTTAGCAGGTAGGGAGGAAGGAAATGAAGTTGTCTAGCTCTTTGTTATGTTCTTAGGCATGGTGCTAGGTTCTCTTGATTTAGTTAGTACCTCATTTAATCCTCATAGGCACGCAGTGATGTGAGTTAAAAATTTTTTGTATTGAGGTATAGTTGATTTACTATATATATATATATATATATATATATATATATATATATATATATATATAGGTACGCGGGCCTCTCCCCGTTGCGGAGCACAGGCTCTGGACGCACAGGCTCAGCGGCCATGGCTCACGGGCCCAGCCGCTCCGCGGCATGTGGGATCTTCCCGGACCGGGGTACAAACCCGTGTCCGCTGCATCGGCAGGCGGACTCTCAACCACTGCGCCACCAGGGAAGCCCGATTTACAATATTGTGTTAAGTTTTAGGTGTACAACATAGTGATTCACAGTTTTTAAAGATTATACTCCATTTATAGTTGTTAGAAAATATTGGCCATATTTCCTGTATAATATATTCTTATGGCTTATTTATTTTATACATGGTAGTTTGTACCTCTTACATATGAAGAAACTGAGGTCCAGAGAGGCTAAAGTGTTTGTCTACAGTTACACAGGGAGTTAGGAAATAAAAGGTGAGCTGGGATCAGAGTCTAGGACGGGCTGGATTCCAAGACCCACATTCTTTGCCATGAACTGCATTACTTTCCTAGTGGATGTAAATGTTTATTAATTTGAATGCTTCAAGTGAGCTTGTCTCCTGTACTGTGAGAGGGTGATGCACATAGGGCTGACGGTGTGTGTGAGGTTGAGGGTGGAAAGTGGAGGAGGCAGTGACCCTTTTTTCTCTCTTGCTCATTTTTCTGCTTTCTGTTGCCACTTCTTTGGGCTGAAGGACAGCCCAAACTGGCTATGGCAGCCGAGGCTCAAGCGTTGGTGAGTCCAGTTGTGGAATGGGGAGAAGAGTGGAGGCGAGGAAGGATTCGGTGCATCATGGTGCTGGCGGTCACTTGGGGCTTAGTGTGATTATACTTTTTGAAAAACTAAGCTTTTTATTTTAAGGTAATTGTAGATTCACGTGCAGTTGTAAGAAATGAAACAGATCACACTCACTCTTTGCCCAGTTTCTCTCAGTGGTAACATCTTGTGAAAGTATAGTGTAATAGCACAACCAGGATGTCTTGACACAGTCAAGATACAGAACAGTTCCATCACAGGATCCCTCTTATGGCTCTTTTGTAGCCGCACCCACTTCCTACCTACTCTCACCACTTAGCTCTTTCGTTCTCCCACAGTAATGTTGTCATCTTAAGAATGTTATATAAATGGTATCATACAGTATTTAGCCTTTTGGGGTTGGCTTTTTTGCTCAGCACGATTCCCTGGAGATTCATCCAAGTTGGGAGTATGAATAATTTGTTCCTTTTTATTACTAATATTCCATGGTATAGAGGTACCACTGTATTAGTTTGCTGGGGCTGCCATAACAAAATGCCACAGAGTGGGTGGCTTAAACAACAGGAATTTATTTTCTCACAGTTCAGGAGGCTAGAAGTCCAAGACCAAGATACCATGAGGGTTGGCTTCTCTTCCTGGCTTGTAGATGCTGCCTTCTTGCTGTCTCTTCACACGGTTCTTCCTCTATGCATGCATGGAAAGAGAGAGAGATCGCCAGTGTCTCTTCCTCTTTTTAAAAGGACACCAGTTCTGTCAGATTAAGGCCTCACTATTATGACCCATTTAACTTTTATCACCTCCTATAGGCCCTATCTCCAAATACAGTTACACTGGAGTTTAGGACTTCAATATATGAATTTACAGGGAACACAATTCAGTCTATAACAACCACGATTTGTTTAACCAGTCACCCATTGAAGGACATTTGGTTATTTCTGGTTTTTAGCTATTAAAAATAAAGCTATAATCATTTGTGGACAAGCTTTTCTGTGAACATAAATTTTCATTTCTCTGGGATAAATGACCAGGAGTGTGATTACTGAGTTGTATGGTAGTGATTATGCTTTTATAAGCAGCTTCTTCTCTTAGAAATTAGAAGGACCAAAGAATTGCCTGTCATTGGTTTCCTTGCCCCTTTCCTACCAACATTTTGTGATTGCTAGTCTTATGTGTACATTTTTGTCCAGTTAACAAAGCAGCACAGTTCCCATTATGTGTTTGATTAATTTAATTGTAAGTCCTCCCCTCCCCCACTTAATCTGTAAATATTTCTGCCCACATCTCTAAAAGATAAGGAATTTTTCTGAAAACATTACCCAAAAATACCATCATCATACCTATAAAAAATTATCAGTAATTCTGTAATTTCATCAAGCATCTAGTCAGTGTTTAAATTGCCCTGATTATCTCAAAAATATTTTTTTATAGTTTGTTTGAATCAGGATCCAAATTAGGTTTATCATTGCAATTGGTTGATATGTATCTCAAGTCTCTTTCTCTCTTTTTTAAAGTTTATTTATTCCTTTTAGTTTTTTACTGTGATAAAATACACATAAAATTTATCATCTTACCCATTTTTAAATGTACAGTTGAGTGGGATTAAGTACATTCACATTATTGTGCAACTATTACCAAAATCTGTCTCCAGAGGTTTTCTCATCTTGCAAAACTGAAACTCTATACCCATTAAACAATAACTCCCCATTCCCCCTTCTCCCAGTCCCTGGCAACCACCATTCTACTGTCTATTTCCATGATTTTGGCCACTCATACAGGTACCTCATATAAGTGGAATCATACAGTCTTTGTCTTTTTGTGGCTTATTTCACTCAACATAATATCCTCAAGGTCTATTCATGTTGTAGCAAATGTCAGAATTTCCTTCCTTTTTAAGACAATGATATTCCACTGTATGTATATACCACATTTTGCTTATCCATTCTTCTATTGATAGACACTTGGGTTGTGACCACATTTTAGCTATTGTGAATAATACTGCTATGAACATGGGTATACAAATATCACTTTGAGATCTTGCTTTCAGTTCTTTAGGATATGTACCCAGAAGTAGGATTGCTGGATCATATAGTAATTCTATTTTTAATTTTGGGGGGAATTGCCATACTGTTTTCCATAGTGGCTGTACCATTTTACATTCCCACCAGTAGTCACAAGGTTTCAGATTTCTTCACATCCTTGCCAACCCATGTTATTTTCTTCTTTTTTTTAATAGTTGTCATCCTAATGAGTATAAAGTGGCATCTCATTGTAGTTTTGATTTATATTTCCCTAATGATTAGTGATGTTGAGCATCTTTTTATGTGCTTATTGGCCATTTGTATATTTTCTTTGGAGAAAAGTCTTTTCAAGTCCTTTGCTCATTTTTGAATTTTTGTTGTTGTTGTTGAGTTTTAGGAGATCACTGTATATTTTAAATATTAATCCTTTATCAGGCATCTCCAGTCTCTTTTAATCTTTATGTACCTTTTCCTCTCTTTTTATCCTCTTGCAATTTATTTGTTGAAGAGATGGTAAGTTTTGTTTTATTTCAATACTGTGTTTTGCTCACATTGTGCTCAATCATCATCACTTACATTTCACAAAGCATGCTTGTCTGTTTACAGCCTAAAGGACCATTGGGTATAGGATACTTCTGGAGGAGCAGTACCTTAATGTTGCTGTTGGATAGTGAATCCTAGTTACACACATCTGACTGTAGACAAAATAACAATATTTCATCTATGCATTTGTATGAGGTTCAGAACATGGGTACATGAATTAGAGTCAGTGAATATGGAAATAAAAGGCCATTCCATTGAAGTAGTGGCTATTAAGAAGCTATCTTGCAGTCGTAAATATGTATTTATTTGGTGATTAGGAATCTTTGAATTCATCGTGGTGTAGTAGAAAAGACACTACATTAGGTGTAGGAGAGTTAAGTCCTGGTGTTTTCTCTGCTACTAGCTCCCTGTATGACCTTGGACAAATCACAGCTCCTCTACAGGGCCTCAGTTTCTCATGCAGTAAATGTGTGGAATGGACGTGGTAAGCTTCAAGGTTCTTTCCTGCTCGATCTGGAGTCTCAGTTGTCCTTTCAAGTTAATCATGAAAAAAATGCCATTCCAGTAATTTGACTCTGGAGGAGTGTCCTAGAACTTTCTGGAGGGAGTTTTACTATGTTGGAATTTCCTTTGATGGTCTTAGATTGCCCTGAAGATTGGATTTGTGATTGACTTGGTGGTAATCCCTATGACCAGCCATAGGGCCTCTTGAGGCAATAAGCTTTTCCATAATATGCATGTTAACTGAGCATGAATTGGGAATCTCTCATGGCATTGAGGTTCAAAGAGCAATCTGGTCTTAATCCAGATAAAGATTTTCTTTTTTCTCTCCTGCTCCGCTGGGAAGCTAGTGGCATGGTGTTCCAGTGGGGAACTGGTTTGGCATCATCTGGACGGCGGTTGTGCCCTGGGCAGACTCTCCCACTGTTTTTGACAGCAAAGGAACCAAGCAGAGTGACAGGTAAGGTCCTTACTTCTTCTGAATCCTGTATTTATTCTTTGTTTGGAAATGGAGACGCAGGCATGCAGAAAATGGGTAAATGGAGTTCTGCGTTTGCTATTTCTTGGTCTCTCTGTTTTAACTCTCTCCGTTGGCTGGTCTATTAATTTGCTGGAATTTTTGTGGGCCCAGTAAAAGTACTCCTCTTTGCTGCCAGAGTTTGGAACCCATTGAGAAGTAGATGCGAGTCAGGTGGGTGGAAATCAAAATGGTAGCTCTAGAGCTGTTACAAGTTAGGTTGGAAGGCATGGCTTAGGTGTTTGGAAATAACGTGTAGCAATAGTGAGCCTCCGGGTTCTGAATCCCAGATTGAATTTACCCACCAGGCACTGGAGCAGCTGTATGCATTCAGTCCTGCTAAGCTCGTGGTTCAGCTGAGACCACGGAGGAGGTGCCCTCTGCAGGCAGGCACATCCCAGAGGGAGAACCCACAAGGAATGTGCCTGCCTGCCCAGCTCCTTCTCCCGAAAGGAAAGCAGGAGCGAGTGAGGATGTGGAGAGAGGGGCTAGGAGTGTTCCCCGAGGGAAATCTCTCTTCATGGGCACACGAGGAGTAGGTAGGAAGGGTGCTGCCCACAGGACGCTTGGTCTCTAGGACTTTCTTTCTCTGTCTCTCTGTCTCTGTCTGCTCTACACTCTCTTCGTGGGCCTTTATCTCTCTGTTTGTAGCACCATGTCTCCACCTGCTCCTCTTCTTCCTCTCTCGCTCTGACTTTGTGACCGAGTTTACTGAGGGTTAGCTGTAGGAAAAACCTGTCAGGAAACCTCTACTCTCCTCTAGCTCAGAATAAGGGAGGGATTTTTGAGGGCAGTAGGAAGTGGGGAGAGAAAAGGGAAGGGTGAGCCGCAGTGGAAGTGTCGTACAAGTTGTTGGGATCGTTCTGATTCTCTTAAGTCCCTGAGGCTTTCCCCTGTTGCAGGGGTGAGGTTAGCGCCCTGAAGCCCATGTGTTGAGTTGGGGAGGGTTCTCTTAGAGAAGGAGAAGGGGCCACTGAACACAGGACAGTCTACTTCACATTGAAAGCATTTGTAATATAAACTCATACTTCCCAAACATCTTTCCTGCCTCACCAAGGTATTCACTGCTCCCTGGGCATGCGCTGTGTTCTTATTCCTCTGTGCCTGTGGGCACACTGTTACCTCTTCCCAGGATACCTTTTCCTTCCTCTTCCCCTTGGGAAAATCCTGATCATTTTTCAGGTCCTAGCTCAGCTACAGCTTTCTCAGGAAAGACTCTTCCTTCTTCTCACCTCCACTGCATTTTCTTTTTTTTAATAGATTTATTTATTTATGGCTGTGTTGGGTCTTCGTTGCTGCGCGCAGGCTTTCTCTAGTTGCGGCGAGCAGGGGCTACTCTTCATTGTGGTGCGCGGGCTTCTCATTGCAGTGGCCCCTCTTGTTGTGGAGCATGGGCTCTAGGCATGCGAGCTTCAGTAGTTGTGGCACGTGGGCTCAGTAGTTGTGGCTCATGGGCTCTAGAGCTCAGCCTCAGTAGTTGTGGCACACAGGCTTAGTAGCTCTGCGGCATGTGGGATCTTCCCCAGACCAGGGATCGAACCTGTGTCCCCTGCATTGGCAGGCAGATTCTTAACCACTGCGCCACCAGGGAAGTCCGCATTTTCTTTATGTGCATGGATAGCACAACTTATTGTATTGTTATGAGCTGTTTACATGTTCTCCCAAATGCCAAAGGTGATGAGCTTTTTAAGGGTAGGGATTATGTCTACTGTCTGTTTTAGCACAAGTTTTGTATCTAAAAGGAATCAGAAGTGTTTTTATTTTATTTGATTTAAATGACCTGGTTGGGATCTGCTTGGGGCACAGCTTAGATTCAGAGTTAACTTGGGGGAATTTTCTGATGAGATGTTAGAGAAGATATCAGCTTCCTGCCCTCAAAGTCTTTCATTTTTCATTGTCCCCTCTTCACCTCATTGCCATCTGTTCTGGAGCTGGAACCCTGGATGTCCTCTCCCGACCTGGCCACTAGGAGACCAGTGCTTCCTCTCTGGTGAAAGTGGCAGAAACATCTTTGTCCCTTTGTCATTCCACAGGATACTTGAAGGCATGAGGGGCATTTTATTAAGACACTAGTAAATTGAACAGAAGTGTAAGAAGAAAGAGTTACAGAATAAGACTCCCATTTCTCTGCATGCCAGACCAGGTGACCACAGCATGGAGCAGAGTTGATTAAGGTTTACACTGTTGTTGAAGGCAGTGTGTTTACGGGTGGAAAAGTGCTGGATTTGGATATGGGAGGCAAGTTCAAATTCTAGCTCTGCCTGTGTGTTGTTAGGAGGCCTGGGCTTGTGTTTCAGCGTCTGCATGTGATAGCAGCTGAATGTATGAGATGTCATTGCTTCTAGGCCCACTCCATGGACAGAGCTAGGAAATATACATGTACACACACATTTATACATATGTACACCTATGTCTGTTTATCTCTAGTAGAAACCACAAGTCTACACTGACTTCAATTACAATGCAGTATCACATGGTCAATTCTAGCCTTTAACCTTTTCATATCTGTACGTTTCTTCTCCTTTCTGATAGTAAGAAATCTGACTCCTTTATCCTCAAAGTATTTATTTATTTGTTCAACCTCCTGGATATAAGCAGTCTCCCTACCATGCCAGCCGTCTTCTTGGCCAGTGCCGCTGACTCAGACCTTCCTGCACTGGCTGAGAGTTTCTCTCCAGGTGCTGTGGTCACTGCCTATGGGCCTCCTGTGCCCAATTTGTTCTGTTACAAATGTGATTTCAAAAGAATTTTTTCTTTTTTGTAGGCCTAGAGAATTCTCAAGCAGTATGTGTTCTTGCTGGCTCAGACCACTCAGCTTCACTGACAGGTAGGTAACATGCCATTCAGAATTCTGGGTGTTTCTGCCTCAAGTGATGCTATTGGGGTACAGAGGGAAAACCATAGACTTTGGAGTCAGAATTCTGATGCCACCACTGGTATGATCTTAGGCAAGTTGTTTTACCTTCCTGAGACCATTTCCTCTTCTATAAAGTACTTTGTGGATAGTTTTGAGAATTACATATGATAATACAGGTAAAACACTCATGTGAAACAGAGGCTCACTTCCTTTCCTCTGAGTTTGTTTTCTTAGCTGTACAATAGGGATAAAAGTATCTTCCTTTAGGGTAATTGTGATTGTCACGTCATATAACCAACAGTAAACTTACGTATAATATGTTGTTATCTTATCCACCTAATCTATTTTGATGTCTAGTATAACTATCTAAGCTCTCTAGCTGTCTATTTTCTCTAGCTGTTTAATCTCAGACTATCCTGTTTTATCTACCTATATCTTTCTTCTCCATTTGTCTGTCACCCTGGCTGCTCTCTCTATCTACTCTATTTTACTTAACTATCCATCTCTATTTTTATTTATCTTCCATCTTAGTGTCTTCCTATCTAACCTAAGTCTCCATCATCTCTAAGTCTAGTTGTGTATATGTTTCTGTAATCTAGTTTATATTTTTATGTTTTTCTCTAGTTGATCTCTCTATTCCACCTCTTTAATCTGTCTATCTAGTCTTTTTTCTCTCACACAGTGTGTATCTCTCTCTGTCTTGGCCGTGTATCTGTCCATCCATCCATTTGACACACCCAGCCAATATAGTATAAACTTTCTAGTGATAATGCAGCATTTTCTTGAAAGTGAAGGCTATCCATCTCTCCTAATGGTTTTTTTCAAAGCCCAGATTGCCCTGACCCCTGCTGGTAGACTGGATACTCTAGCTCCGAGAGATTTATGTTGGTAAGACCTCTCACCCAGAGTTGAATGCATTACATTTTTTAAGCAAAGGGAAATGACTTTCATACACAGTGTTTCCAGTGTTTCATGTGGAAATTAAGATGTGTACACAGTATCTGTAAATTAATGGAGGCATGCATTCTTCAACATCAAATTTGTAATGCAGTCCAACTGAGGAGCTGTTACTGTTTCCAAAGCACAAGAGCCGTAATGTGAGACTTTAAATACTTAACAGATTCTGAACTACAGATAATTTGATAGTTAATGAATTAAAAACAACTAACTAATGAAAGAACTAGCTGCTTTTAGCCTGTGTCTCATGTTAAGTAGATTTATAGATATGTTAAAAGAGTTGAGTTAAAATGAATGCCAGGGCTTCTCTGGTGGCTCAGTGGTTGGGAGTCCGCCTGCCAGTGCAGGGAACATGGGTTCGGGCCCTGGTCCGGGAAGATCCCACATGCTGCGGAGTGGCTGAACCCGTGCGCCACAACTGCTAAGCCTGCGCTCTGGAGCCCATGAGCCACAGCTACTGAAGCCCGTGCGCCTGGAGCCCGTGCTTCGCGGCAGGAGAGGCCACCGCAGTGAGAAGCCCGCTCGCCACAACTAGAGAGGGCCCGCATGCGGCGACGAAGACCCAATGCAGCCAAAAATAAATAAATAAATAAATTTATTAAAAAAAAAAAAAAAGAATGCCAGCTCTAAGGGACTCCTCTTGGCATGTGGTCCCACCTCTCCTTTTATGGGGAGAGGGGCAGAAGGCCCCAGGACAAGAAGTGACTAGTTCATCCCCCACAGTCCTCACTAGCATTGGAGGAAGGCATTCTTTTCTGAGAATAAGAACAGACTAAGAGAGATTTCTTTTTTTTTCGGCCATGCCATGCGCCATGTGGGATCTTCTCTGACCAGGGATCAAACCCATGCCCCCTGCGTTGGGAGTACGGAGTCTTAACCACTGGACCACCAGGGAAGTCCTGAGAGATTTCTACCCTGTTCTAATTCATTTGAAATGGCTGGTATTTTGTCAACCTAGAGATTCTTCTAGTTGCTTGCTAACATCGATTTCTTAAAAACTCTTGTAATCAGTAAAGCTATTTTTTATTTCATATGTGGAGCATTTTTACTATGGTGTTTTTAAAACATAGATGTTGGATTTTTTATTGTGATATAATTCATATATGAAATTCACTCCTTTAAAGTGTGCAGTTTAGTGATTTTTAAAGTATATTCACAAAGTGAATTGGTTTTGGATATTGTGAAAGTGAATTAAAAAGGGTCAAGATTAATATCCGTCTTTCCTGGTCTAGTTCAAGCTGTTACACATTGGATTTTGTTCAGTGTTCTTTAGACCTTCTCTCTGGAGTTGTAGATTATGTAACTATTTGACATTGCAGCAGAATTTAGTTTTGCCTGCTGATGCAACAGTGTAATGATCTGCATTACATTACTGTGGAAGATAGTTCGTCTTTGCAAAAAAGATGGTTTAGACTTACTAAGATAAATGAAGGCTTATTACAGACACAGGCTCATTGTCAGTGGTACCTTGGTAGCTAAGCACTCCATTTAATGGGTTGAAGCTTTGCTGAGGGGTCCTCTGCCCTCTTGTAAAGGATCCTCATACTTCATACACCCTGGTGAGGTCCAGGGAGGTTGCCCTCTCTCTAGGCACGAAATATACCAAATTCGTTGTATAGCACTGCAGAATGTCAGTGCTGCAAGGTCACCTGGGTGACAAAAAGGCTCCACTGATTTATAGACCCTCAGACTCTATGAAACAGAGACCCAGAATGTGAAGTGATGTGCCCCGTGTCAGAGTGATCCAGTAGCAGATTTGGGACTTGAAGCTGGAATCTTGGTCTAATATCCTTTAATGATACTGTTTGGCTTCTGATCAGTTTTGGAGAATACACCAGACTGCCTCAGGGCAAGCAATACTGTAAACCTTTACTGGGAGGTCACAGAATGCTGTGGAAGCAAAAAACCTGGCTTCTGGTCCCACTTGATCCCTCATTAGCTATGTGATCTTGAAAGTCACTTAACATCTCCGAGCCTTGGTTAATTTATCTTCTAGAAGAGTGCTGTCTAGGAGAAATATAATGTGAGCCGTATTGCAAAAAGTAAAAAGAAAAAGGTGAATTAATTTTAATAATTTATTTTACTTAACCCAGTATATCCAAAATATTATTTCAATATGTAATCAGTATGAAACTTATTAATGAGGCACACTCCTTTTGGGTTTTTTTTGCACTACGTCTTTACAATCCATTGTGCTTTGTTTGTCTTCAACATGTCTCATTTGGACTAGCCACATTTCAAGTGTTCAGTAGCCACATGTGTGTGCCATGTGCTTACTGTGCAGTGTAGAACCTTGGAATGTTAGGGTTGGGAAAGTGCTTAGAAATCATCCAAGGAGTCACAAACTGTAGATTTATAAGCCAAATTATGGTCTATGGCCCCATTTTGTTTGACTTCCAGTTAAACATTTGTTGAATGTGAATGCCTTTTGGACAAGCATGTGCCCTCTGGTTTGCTGCCGTCACCCACAAGTCTCTCCTGTTAACAGTGTCATCAGTTATATCGTCTGCCCTTCTTGACCAACCGCCCTCCCCTCCAGTCTTCAGCTGGTGAAACTAAGGCTTGGAGAGGAAGTGGTTTGTCCAAGGTCAGTAGCTAGTTAGCAGATCCAAGAATAGAAGCCAGAATCACTTGACTCTGAAATTGTTCTTTTTCTATTAAATCACAGTGTCAGTCAGTCGCATTCCTGCTTATATCACAGGATTATTGTGAGGTTCAAATGAGCTTAAATGCTATGTGGATGTGATATGATAACATTATATTTTCTTCTGGACAGGGCATGTAGTGAAATCATCTTATGTTTATAAAGTTTAAGCTTTAAACAGTTTATCTTTTAACCTGTTATTTAAAAAAGCTAATATATATTTTTCCTAACAAAAGGTAATGCAAGCGTTTATTTTAAAAATGTAGAAAATAGAGAAACATATGTCTTGCACATGGTAGATGTTGAACAAATATTTGGCTGAATGAATTAATGAAAAAATAAACTCACATTCCTATTCCTTGACAAACTGCTAAGACCATTTGGCCTTTTTTCCTATTTAAAGAATTTTAAAAAATCTTGTGTATAATTATGCTATACATGAATTTGGTATCTTGTTTTGCTCTATTCAACATTGTAGGATTAAGAGTAATACAACTTCTTTTAACCACATTTTTTTTTTCAAACAGGTTATTTTCCATCATTTTGGACTAATGGTCCTTCACCTCTTTTGTCCCCCTTTTGTTTGTTTAAGATGCAGGAGAGCTGTTTGTTTGGGGAAGCAACAAGCATGGGCAACTGGCTTCCCATGCTGCTTTCCTTCCTGTGCCCCGGAAGATAGAAGCACATTGTTTTCGGAATGAAAAGATCGCTGCTGTCTGGAATGGGTGGACACACCTAGTTGCTCAGACAGGTGAGAGTGGCAGAGAGTTTGTGGTTGGGAAGAGCAGCTGGGGGACAGCTGTCTAAGTAGCTATGAATGCTTGGGATTAGGTAGTTTGGTTCTTACTTGATGAAATGCTTTAAGGGTTGGGAAGGGAAGGACCAGGGATCTAGTTCTGCAATCAGCCAGATACGTGGCTTTTCCTCTCTGGATCACAGGTTTACACGCAAAAAGGCAAAGCTGGCTTAGGTTAACTCCTTCTGGCCCTAAGAGTCCACGAAGTTTTGTGAAGGAACCCACTGCAACAAACATCACCTAGAAATTTGTCCAGGTTGTTGGGGAGTCTTTGCCTTGTCATAGCTAAAGGGATGACTGTATTTGCATTTTCACTTGAGTCTAAATTAAAGGTGTCAGAAACTATTAAGTTAAATATTTTAAGATGGAGGCAAAAGCATTACTTTGAGTCATAGCTGGCATGGTATTTTGATTTAAATTTTTATTAACCCTAACAAACTTTGTACATTGATTCAAGCATCCCACATATTCCTTCAGATGTTACCTTACCAGGCCATGCCATCCAGCTTTTGGCATCTTTATCTTTTCTTGATAATATCTTCGTTGATTTCTCATCTTAGGGCAGTTCTCCTTGCCTGGTCTTCATATTCCTGACACTGTTCTCGGGGTTTGTTTTTTCATGGCCTCCCTTCTTCCCAGCCTTCCTAGAGCTCTTGCTGACTGACACAGCTTCCCAGACCAGCAGTTTGTAATTCTTAAGAACCATTATCGTGTCAAGGCCTTCTGAACTTCAGGGGTTCTCAGGAGTCCTCTTGCCTGCTCTTGGCCTGCTCGTTAGTGACACACAGATCTGTAGACTCTCAAATACCTGGTCACTTAATCCAATACTTTTGTAGGTTTTCAGGTCAGCTTCAGTTATCCTGGGTAAGTCACACATACTACACGTTTGAACACATAGACTTATGAGTATTTATATCCATGGTGCTTTTAATTGGTTCTTAAAATTTTTTTTTAAGGTTGTTTTGGTACAGAGGCCTATATAACAAAGGTGTATAATAAACTTTCCATATTTACTGCTTCAGAGGATGCTCTAATGATGTCATTCATTTGGAGGAAAATCATGACTTTCCTCAAAGAAGTCCAGACTGCTTGAAGATTGGGACCATCGACAGAAATTTTTCTTAAAGAGACCCTGAGCATAATAGCCACTTATTTGTATAATTGTTACTCTCTCTCTTCTCCTCCAGACAGTGAGCTCTGTGATAGGAGGCACGATATTCATCTTGCTCACGTCTGTATCTCCAGTGCCTAGCAGAGAAAGTATTCTTTGCCTACATTAAACTGTTTCTAGTTAAAAGAGACTAAACATATTCAAATGCATAGGAGGCAGGGTAGACTGCGAGGATTTCTTCTTTCCTTGGACTCGCTGGTCCATGATCAGAAGGCTTCAGTTTGTCTCTTTGGATTCAAGAGTCCAACCAAATCGGTTCTTGTTTATTGTAAACCTTTTGAGCAGTGTGCTAAGCCTTGAAGAAACAGAAAAGATGTGGGCCGTGCCTTCCCACTGCAATGTGTGGACAGGCTTAAGTCTAAGAGTACAGAAACAGAAGACTTTATCATCCATCTGTCCATCATACAGATGGTGAGGATCTGTTTATGTACCATGCCTTGTACTAGATCCTAATCCTGCCCTCAGGGAGCCCACTGTCACTAGGGGAGACAGACCTGTTATCAGATTTCAGTGCAGCAGTGGAACTAAGTCAGTGTGCAGGAATGGCACAGACACTAGCAGTAGTCTGAGTCACTGGGTGTTAACAGGTAGGCGTTTCATGCTTAGTCAGTCTTCAAAGAATTGCAGTGCAGTAAAATACACTTACTACCAAACCATAGTGGGTTTAGTTGAGTCTGTCAGTAAATCCGTTAACTGGTTAGGCAGCTGACTAATGAAAGACATAAAGATGTTGCTGCTTTGATTCTAGCTTTGCAGCACTGTAACTCATGCTGATTTCCACGTCTGGGCCAACAGCCCAGCACTCAGAGTGGGAGGTTGGAACCTATGTCCCTGACACTGTCTGAGTCACCCCAGCTGCTCTGGGGCTCAGCTTCAGGTCTCCACCTCCACTTGAGAGCATGATCTTTGGGTAATGTTTCAGCTGTTTGATTAACTTGTTAATTCAGATCTCTTGTTTATGCACTTTGTTATTTTCCCCTTTCTCCTGAGTCCAGAGTGGTTAAAAGCTGGGATGTTAGAGCGTCCTGGCTGTTGCGCTGAGTTTTGTGTAGAAGAGAGTCTCCTGCTGTTTGGTTCACCAGTTTTGCCCTCCTCCTAGTAGCCGTGGAAGCCTTTGCCCTGGCGCGGTGTCATTGAGAAGAAACAGCCAGGGCTTCCAGTTTAATCAGACCCAGTTGCTCATTTTAATGGGAACAAGATTTGCTCACAGGGTCAAATCAGCTCATTATTGGGCCAAGGAGTTATTTGACTCTAGTTGTTTTCATAAGCTCCAGTGGAGAATTGTTCCTGGGACCTACCTGCAGCCACATCAGCACAGAGGCTGCCCCCAGTCTCGTTCTGGAAGACATTAGGGGTGTATTATTGATTAAAAACAGCTTATGTGCAGTGACCATAGATCCGTCCAGTAAGGTGGGCTGGGCTGGGCTGGGTTAGGATGGAGACGGGGAGTAGACTGTGCTTTCTCCCATCTCATAATCCCTACACCAACTTTGTTCCTTGGGGGACATTTGCAGTGTCTGGAGCCATATTTGGTTGTCACAACTAGGGGTGGGCGTGCTACTGGCATCTAGTTGGTAGAGGCCAGGGATGCTGCGAAATGTCCTACAATGCAAGGGCAGCCCCCCCCCGCCCGACACAGAAATACCCAGCCCCAAATGTTAATGGTACCATGATCAAGAAATGCTGCCCAAGACTGCCATCCCCAGTGGTAGGTGCTTAGAGAGGGCAGTTCACATGATATCAAGATTACTTTACTTTAGTTCGTCTATGTGGGAATCTGGGATGCAGTCTCTGTCCTCCCTCTTCAGGAGTCTGGTGCCTACCTGCAGTGCTTGTGATGGAAAAATACTTTTCTCCATTAGAGGCACTTGGAAAGAGTCCAAGAGAACCTGTTCTAATCTGGGAAAGCTGGCAAGGTACCTGTGTCTCAGACTGGTGGAGCTGCATTCAAGAAACCTTTCCCAAGCTGCTTAATGTCCCCGATCATTGTTCTCGGGAGCTTCATGGGACTCCTGTGTGACTTTATCCAGGCTCGGTGACCTGCAGCTCTCTCCTCTGAGATTCATGAGTTCCTGGCCCAAAGTGCTTCTAGTGAGAACTGGGTGGTGGATCTGTGTGCCTTCTTAGTTGGGTGACCTTAGTTGAGTCACTTCACCTGTCTAGGCCTCAATTTCCTCCTCTCTCATGCAGGGTATTAAAACCTACCTCCATTCTACAGACAGCTGCTGTGAGTTTCAAATGAATGAATCTGTGTGAAAGATCCTAACTAACTGTAAAATGCTATACATACCTGTACAGGGGGTGCCCATGCTTGGGATGTGTGAGTACATTAAGGAGTTAGCAGTTGCTTTTAGAAAGGCTTTCGGCAGGGTCTGTGCAGGGCTTGAGACACACCAGCTTCTCCCCTCAGGGCTCATGAACTGGCCAGGTCTGACAGGCAAAGTTTCCTGAGGTCTTTCACTTACATGCAGCCAGCACGTAGCTCTTTTATATTATCAATATAAGATCATCATGGCCTTACAGGTAATTTTTCCTGTTAAAATCTCTGATCACACTATTCTTCCTTCAATGGATTGTATACATACTACGAAACTGTATTCTTCCTACAAAATGGATTGTATACATCCACTTGCATTCTTATTTGTTTAATGTCTAGACTGTAAATTCCATGAGAGCAGTGTCTGTGTTGTTCACGGCTATATCCCCAGCACAGGCCCGGCACATAGTAGATGATTTGTAACTAATTGCTGAACGAATGAATAGATGGCAAGGTAGAGAGAAGCGTGGCTTTGAAGTCAGACAGGCCGAGGTGTGACTCAGCTCTGCCAGCCTCCTGATTGTGCCAGTTCCTCTCCATCACCACCGTGGTGCAGGCCACTGTCACCTTCTTGCTGGATCCTGCAGTGGCCTCTGCCTGGTGTCCTCAGCTTCCCACATCGCTCCCTCTCCCCCCAGTCTGTTCTCCATGCCTCAGTTGGAAGATCTTTTCAAACCCATGTGTCACATTCCAGTGGCTTCCCATTGCTCTTACAATAAAGACATAGTCCTTAGTGGTCACCAGGCACTGCGTGGTCTGCCCTCTGCCTGCCTTTCCAGCCCTGTTTCTAACTGAGCTAGCTCTTGATCTCTGGCTGACCTCTACTCTGGCCTTGGTACCTGGAATGGATCCTGGATTTCCCACTATAGTGCTTTTGCAGCTGATGTTCCCTCTATTTGCCACACTTACCCTGCTCTCCTTCTTCATTTTGACTTAGTTACGTCCTTTTTTTGTTTTCCCCTAGACCTCAACTTAGTCATCACCTCCTCAGGGAGGCCTTCCCTTGACATCCCTGACTCATCACTTTTCCCTTTTATCTCTTAGGGCACTACAGCCTCTCCTTTGTGCTATTTTCTTTTTTTAAAAATTAATTAATTATTTATTTTTGGCTGCCTTGGGTCTTCGTTGCTGCGCACGGGCTTTCTCTAGTCACAGCGAGCAGGGGCTACTTTTTGTTGCGGTGCGTGGCCTTCTCATTGTGGTGGCTTCTCTTGTTGTGGAGCACAGGCTTTAGGTGCACAGGCTTCAGTAGTTGCGGCTTGCGGGCTCTAGAGCGCAGGCTCAGTAGTTGTGGCGCACAGGCTTAGTTGCTCTGCGGCACATGGGATCTTCCTGGACCAGGGCTCGAACCCATGTTCCCTGCATTGGCAGGCGGATTCTTTTTTTTTTTAAACACATTACTACTTCTTTTCTTTTTTTTTAAATTTATTTTTGGCTGCGTTGGGTCTTAGTTGCCGAGTGGTCTTT